GCCACTCCTGCAAGGAGGGCTTCTACCGGGACCTCAGCAAGCCCATCTCCCACCGCAAGGCCTGCAAAGGTACCGCGTGTGGGGTGGGATGGCTGGGACTGCACGGCTCCTTCTTCTCCAGCCCCTTCCCACTGCTCCTGCTTCCGCAGCTCTTGCTTTTGCCAAACTCCTCCTGCTCCTGCCTCTCCCAAGCCAAGCCCTTGAAATGACTTTTCTTGCCCCCATGTTCCCTGCCATCACCTCTCCCTGGTCTCCCCAGCCTCCTCAGTGAGGACGAGGCCACTGAAATACAAAAAGTCCTTGCTGCTGAGGATGACCTGAAATTATTTCAGGTTTTATCACTTATAAATCATGCTTCATGTGCTCTGATAGCCACAGCCAACTTGGTCACTGCATACGTAAGGGCAGAGTTGCACAAAAATCCCCGGCATGGGGTTAGGTGTAGCGTCTGTACATCAGCCTCCTCCAAACGCCCGGCTCCAGCTCCCAGCCCCCAGCACTGCTGAGGGCACAGGCAGTGCTTAACCCACCCGCAAAACATTTCACTCCTCCGGATGAGGCAAGAACAGTAAAACGGGGAACAATTTTATTCTGAGCTCAGCAGACAGAGTTTTTTGAGGTTTCTGTGAAGGCGAGCAGGGCTTCAGCTGGGGTGGGAGCAGCAATAAGAGCAAATCCTGCAAACGAACTTTTTTAACTCTCAGCTGTCTGCTGGAAGAGGTATAAATCCTGAACCCGAGACGCAGCTAAAGGAATCAAGCAAACATTCAAAAGCCAGATTAAATGATGCTGGGGTTTCCCGCAGAAAGCTTCAGCTTTTTTCTCTGTAAAGACTCGTTTCAATAAGAAACGTAAAGCTTTTTGGCCCAAGCTGGCTATTTTTGGCTGGAAAGCTTTAGGTCTTCAGCATTTTCAATTTTTTAATGAAAACGCTTCTTCATGGGTTGTTGTTTTTTTTTGTTTTTTCCACTGAAAACAGACAGTCTTTGCCAAAGCAGAAAAAGAAATTGCTTCTTTAGATGGCCCTACCCCCCCTTTTTTCACCTTGTAAAAACTATTTCAACATGATGTTTTCCACCCGCCCTGCGCCGAGGCTGCTAACAAGCCACAGCACCAGCCGCAGCGTCGGCTCGGGGGGT